ATAATTACTTTTGATTTCTAGAGAAATAATGGACCTCTCCTTAACTGTTACACAAAGAGACAGCTGCTACATTCGGAACCAGGTCGGTGGGTGTCTATGCATTCGCCATAATGATGCACAAAGTCTTCTACCAGACAAAGCCACGTAGACTCGAAGATATTCCAGTGACGGAAATTTTAGAAAGGGCCATGAGTGGGGAAAAGCCTACTTTACATCCACAGGTATATATTTTTTGCCATCACAAAATGCCGCCAAGATGATTTGATAATATTGTGTAGGTAAGACAAACTGAGCTAATCATAGCCTTCACACGAAGCAGGCAGGTATGTCAATTAATTCATCAGAATTCATGTCAGGTTTAAGGATAGCCCTAAGTTAATTTAGCATTTTGTCTCTGGTAAGTTAAATATGGAGGATAAAGTGTTTTCAAGGAAATTGCTGAAAAAATGTCGAATTTTGTATCTGATTCATCACTGTGGCTTAGAATTATTTAAGAAACTGGGAATTAAGTGACCTAGTGACCTCAACACCACTGATGCAAAAGCTTTCTTGAAAAAGCTCAAAAACTCTTTTTCTCAATGTGCATAGCTTCCTCTATTGACTTTTTAGGCTCAGCTTCTTCAAACAGGCATCCCACCCACTTACGCAGGCATTCTTGAACGACCTTGGTTGAAAAATTCTAGGTTAAGACTAGCATTTAGGGAACCGAATGAGGAGATCCAGCAGATGACCAAAGCAAAGTGGGATGGCTATATTTCATGCCATTTTCTCAAATATTACAAGAAAAGCGAATATAGTAGAGCAGATGTTCAAAATGATGGGGAACCACTCGAATAGGTTGGAACAACAGGTGAGTCTGATTGGAGGAACTGAAGAAAGACGAGAGAATAAAAAAACTTCTTATCTGTCGTATGCTGCCTCCTTGAGTTTTCTGCCAGTTGGATTTTTCACCAACCAAATGGAAGGGATTACTGATTTATACCGCATGATTTCTGGTCGTAAGAAATGACTGCTACAATCCTATAGTCAAATTTATTGGCGTTTAATCACCCAGCTTTGAGCTCTGCAAAATTTTTGAGTGAGAAGTTGAACATAATTTGGAATCATAGAGTTGTTGCAGAAGCATTGAAGACAGGTGTTGCAGTGGCACTTGAGACCTACGATGAGGTGTCAATCTGCATTAGCGACACTGTTAGGTTCATTACCACCTCTGCAATATCCACACCATGACATGCTGTCGATCTTCTGAACGGCTTGTACACAGTTTGACAAGACGATTGCGAACTACGACGTTAACAAGGTGGGTTGGTTTGGAGGTGTTTGAGTGTACCGTTTGACAAAGGTTTGATCCCCAATCAAATATTTGACGTGTAGTTTTATTTGCCTTGGTAG